TATGGTTGAAACGGTCTCGTTTTGTTTGAAGGAAAGAAGCTACCATGTTTTTGATTAAACATGGTCCGATGACTACCGGAGCTAGAAACAGTATGAGAATTGGCCTAATACAAAATGGCCTTGGCAGACTTGATCTCTACATGGAATCGGCAATATCATGTATCCTGTTGTTGATTAGCGCTAACCAGCTGCCAAGTAAGACTGTCAGTCTGAATACGAATCTCTATAACAAAATATTTATGGATTTTATTTACGAAGACTATATTTCGTAGTATCGAGCTAATGCGAAGCAAACATGTGTATATATCGTCACTTTTTTTTATATAAAATTTATATAAAAGGCGCCAGCTCTGCTTTTAGTGTATACACTAGTCAAACTTATCAGGTAGTGGATTATGAACACGAACCGCCAGATATAGCTACTGTCTATGTATGTACAAGAGAGCTCGTTTTTCCTTTTCGATTTAAATGGCCCAAGAAATACAGCCTTCAACATATCGTATATAAGATGCTGTCCACGCCCGAATCTCACATATATGTGTATATATGAACGTGTGCATGTTCATTGAATGCATAGCCCGCAATGATGAAAACTTGGCCGTTACGATAGGCCATTTTATTCGTCTATGCTTGAGAGATTCTAACGGAATCATCCTGTCATACGGTTTGTAGGTGCGCGGCATACATTTCAGATCAAGTTGCTATTGTTTCGGCACCATCAAGTGCTTCGTTGAAATCCGTCGTTGAAATCAACAACCGGTACAACAACATACGCCCCAATAGCGCTTTGCTTGTTTTCCTAGCCATTGCACAACCAGAAGCCAGTCAGCTTGTCAGAATCTTTACGAAATTTAATAACGAGACGGCCAACACTGCCCTTGTTGGCCTGAATCGCTCAACAGTATTCAGTCCGTCAATTCAATCTGCAACCAACCCGAAGTCGTCGTTAGGACGCTTCAAGCCGCTAAAGAGGCGTCATCACGCTATTAGACAGCCACTGCTACTACTAATAACGACCATAATAATAATACCGCGAAAAACTGTGCCGAAGCTGACGATGACGACGTTGAGATCGCGTGGGCTGAGATATCCCCAAGCGCCAAATAACAGCGGGAATCATTGATGGCGCTGTTATCGCTGTCGCAGTTTTCAACGGACTGTTCCAAACGAAAATTCCCCAACTCGAATCCATCAAAATGAGAGACGTTTAGTCGACCGGTGCCTTAATGGCCGATGCGTGCCCATTGCACGTCTATATATTTACACAATATTATAACGTCTACGGTAAACGTTAGCGCTTCTATCCTTTTTCAGTTGGTCCATTACAATCACGAACTGTTGTTATTTGATGAAAGTGTAGGGAGATATGTTGGTAATACCGATCTTGATCTGCTTACCGAGTTTTCGTTCTAGCAAGGCGTCGAAGGCAGAGTTTATAGGGCACACCCATATTTCTTCGGCTATACCACTCCGGTAATTTACTGAAATCGATGTAAAGATGTGATTTTAGAATACAGTACATAAAATATATTTCTAGAGAGAATTTTCAAAAGCATATTGGCGCAGATACTGATTATTTAAAAATTACTAACAGTAATAACATCTCGAGTTGGTCATGACTCAAGGCAAGATAGAGAGCTTCAGGGTGTCGATTGAGGCTAGCGAATTAGGATAACCAAGTTTTCCTCATAGCGTTCATTTTGAAGCAACACTCAGCACGTGTTACAACCACAGCTGCGTGCCAAGTCATTACGGCTGTCTTTTTTCTTTTTTACTGGTCGGCCTTTTCTTTTACGATGCATGCGATAGTTATCATGAGAGTTAGGTAGCGATTTACCAGAGATTTCCGCGATAAATTTTATCCCACACAGTGGACAAGATTCAAGTAGTATTGAGTTGTTTCATGTCTAAGTACCTTGACTGTTATACGCTGACGCTGTAACTACAAAGGAACGAAAAAAAGACAATCGTAACAAACGTCGAAACCGGTCACATCAAATTTCTGCCACGTACGCATGCATCCTCAGCGAATTTGTCTAGAGTTAGTGTATAGAGATGTCCTTGATTTTTTGACAGAATAAACAGTTCAGTGAAGGAGAGCTGACGAAGCAGGCGTTACTGCCTAAACACTATCTGACAAAGGCTAATATTGACACTGGTACGGTGATACATCTACGCTTACCAAGCAGAATATGTGACCGGATGAGTAAATAGCGTTGAATGATGTTAGGCCTAACCTGCTTCGGCTTAGTAATTACCATCTATTAATACATTGGATTCGCTTTCGGGAACGAGAAACTGGCGCAACGAGCACGCAAGAGGCATCCAGAGTGATTGACAGAATATCGGCGGGTATCAGCTTGAAAGTTTTACTTTATCCAATTATGAGGGATTCTTCTGAATGAATGTTTCTGCTAACAACGAAAGAAAAGCTGCGGTTACCGTCTCATCCCTTCCGAGACGCAAGACCAGCTCTATGTTTTGACTTTTACGTCTGGTATTGCCGTCTGGCATTCCATCAGACGACTGGATACCAGTACGAAACAAACCTCGGACCTAGGTAACGTGTCCATAAGCTTAGCAGGCAAATATGTTACCCACCCAGCTATCAAGGGGTCGAGACCAGCAAATCTAGCTTATGCTTTGAAAAAGTTTTCTTTAAAGAATATATTCTAAACTATATTACGGTAGCATGAAGCAACATCCAACTTTTAACCGAGTTCGGAATCTTAGATTTAATTTTATTTATCTCCTCGAATGTTTTCATTATGTCATAATTTGCCCCTGATGTTCGAACAGACGATATAACGGCCATAAAGACTGGACTTTCCATATCTACACAGGACGAGCGTTTGTCTATCCTGTCGTGCAATGATCTTTACCGAAGTGTCTGGAACAGCGGCGAGAATCCAGCACAACAAATGCCAAACCATACTAACGTTTCTCTAAGTGGCACCGAAAGCAAATTATCGAAATTTATTCGAAATAAAATATCAAACAGTCATGCTGTTGTACAGCCCTAGTGTATATAATAGCCTATTCTGTCAAAACAGCGTCAGACAAACATAAGCTAATTCACCTCAAGATATAACTTACAGCATGGTAAGACGAGCGTTGCATTGCTTTTCAACTAGCTTTTTAGCTACGCAACTTATACAGCCGGTTACGTCTGCTACAGTATTACCAAAATGTATCTTCCGAATTATTATCACTTTCAGATCTTACTGTTAGATTCGACATCTTTGTAAAGGCTGGTTCCCGCAAACTAGATTTGATAGTCTAGGTTCCATCCTATAGATAGCCTTGGTTTTGCTCTGCAAGAGCCAGCCCTCTGTCTGTGCGATGGAATGCCCAGCGGCGATACCGGAGTCGAACCATAGCCCGATTAGCCGATCTTGTGGCGTCAAATTGAAAAGTAAATAAAAAAAAATTATTTATAGTCGTGATAAATATTGTTCTACTCATTAAATGTTTCTCTTTCCTATCTGGTACACCCGAAGTTCAAAATCGCGCATAACCCTTTCTAAATCCATTGAAATTTTGCACCTGCAAAAAAGACTTCGGAGACCTACGTATAGGTAGTTTCAACTTGAATATGCACAGAAAAACATATATATATATATATATTTTTTTTTTTAGTATTTGCAGATGTTGATTTTGATGCGATTTTAGAACGACTATTGAACCACGTTAGATCTCGATGTTTCATTAGAACCCGATCAAAGGATTTCACAACTAATATTATTTTTCTCTCTGTTTTTATTTTTTATTACATATGATTATCGCGGCCAGTCGGTATTTTGTAATAGATTGGCCGGCTCATTTTCAACCGTACCGCTTCCATACAGCAGATATCCATTAAGTCAATACATATATACATCTATGGTGGTACGTTCGCGCCACTAAGAACTACCTACGTTATGTCATTTGGCGAATTTTTTAGCGTTTTTAAGCTGAATCAATTTTCAAGATGGTATCTGTGTAGACCCGCTATAATTCAGTCCATGAAAAACTCCTATGTACATACAATATGATTAGACTGCAGATCTAGATCTTGTTAATCTGGCCCCAAAAAGAACTGGGACTAATTTCGGATATTTTTTCTCTGCGCTTTGATGAATTCGCAAGCACCTCAGTATTGATCTCAGTCAGGCCTTCATCACAGAGTGGTGCTCCCGTTAATATAAATATGAAATTGTAATATAACGTACAAAATCATTTTTCCACACAACTTCCCGGTTGGCGTGATTAGTAATGCCAAAACTATATGTAAGAACCAATGACTCACCAACGTCAAACTTTGCTCGTTTAGCTGCGCTGTCTGAGGCATAACTTAGAGGAGTGGTAATGTTTATCGGCAGACTAAGTCGGTCAGAATCTGACAGGAAGCAGATAGGAAACACTAAATTTCGGGTTGATCATGTTCTACTTGTGATAATCTCTAATATCCAGTAACAGAGGAGGGACATAGCTCAAAAAGTCGTTCTGTTGTTTTATTTTCATTGTGACCGTAGAAATAGGTCTAGAAATGAGCGCTGACACACGAGTTGAACCGCTGCTAATAAATAAGTGCTGGCATTTTTTCACCGTAGCCATTCAAACAAATTGAGTTTAAAAACACACCATTCGTTTGGTAAAAGCTGATAGCTCAGAATCGACCTACTTGAATGCTAGTAAAATTCCAATCATATAAAAGACACATATATACATGTACTCAGGAGATACTTCATCCTCAAATACACAATATGAACTTAACTTAAAATTCAACGCAGATCGTGAAAATCCTCAAAGGCTGAGCGTTGAACGTGAGTGGAGCACAGGTTCTCATTAACATATCGATAAGCTAGTCCGTTGGATAACACTGGCCAATGGTTTTCGTCAATCAGGCACAGTGTTTCGAATATTTTTAAGCACGAAACTTCTTCTGAGCGGTTTGAACGAGTTCTAATAACAGTTATTATCCAGGAGTTGCTAAATCAGAGTTAGTTGATAACTATCTAGTAACGTTCGTTAAACCACTAGCAGGTTTACTGCTACACCATAAGCAGATAGAAAGCTTGTGCCATGTCATTCTCTGAACTCCTTTTGCAGCCCTGAGCCCTGCCATAAAAATATAGCTACCGGAATGATATACATGCCAGCCTAGCTTTTCGTGCTATAGCAGGCAAATGAATCAACTCTTTCCGAACGGGCCCCGGCGGGTATAAGCGATACCTAAGATTCCGAACGAAGATGTTCTATACGCACGTAATTTTTTAGATCGTCTGGCGTACCCCACATAACAACGAACAAAGGGCACATACTTTATTAAAACGATTATGTATTTTGCACAGTTACCTCGTTCAATGAAGGGCTGACGCGGAAAGCACTCAGTCGGGCTTACACCACACACACACACTACATGTATTAGTACGTTAAATGCGGATACTAAAACTGTAACTGACTACCCTCTTAGACGAAATCATTCAAATTACCAGAGCGGTCGACAATCCCCCCCACAACACGTTCCTAGCTTGTCAGCTTTGTCCTTCAAAAGCCTTGTGTTTGAGCTTGAGCGTGTGTGTGCGACAGATGGAAAGATCCTCAAGTTACAATGTAACTTGACTGTAATTTCTCTCATTATATAAGCTGCTCTTTGTTCTAAGGTCTGCACGCGATTTTTTACATCTATGAGCTATCGTGACAAAATTGTATTGCAACTACAAGCGGGCAAAGCGTATAGGATATAACCAAATGATTCAACGATAAGTCGGTGACAAACAATCATTTGGAGCGATGACACTGAAATATTGTTTTTTCAAAATACGTCACTATAAAAATATAGTATAAAATAAAGTCGAAGATGAGACGCTGTATATTGATACATAGCACTGATACACTGGAGGATATTTAATCATCGTGTGATATCAGTATAGCCCTATATAGTGATGCTCAGTGTCTTGTAGTTTTGAAGTGGTTCTCCTCAATCATCACCACATTTTCTTTAAGATGTCATAGTGTAATGGTTATGCGACGCCATGCCACGTTTTCAAGTGAGGCGATGCGTTGCTCAGGGTTAGGCCCCCTTCGCTCGAACATGTAGTGGAAATGACGTATTAGCCATAGCGTCTCGGTCTGTCTTTGATTCATCGACCTGAACAGTCGGGGCCGCCGCTCAAGTTCGGCGATGGAATATTTAAATCGTCTCTGCTCAACGATAGCCACCAAAGATGTTACCGATTAAAGACTACGCGTTCAAGCTCGTCCCGCGCATCGAAGACGTATAATATAAAACATTGATTAATATTTTATGCCGCGATAATTCACCGCAGAAACATAAAATTCTTAACATTTTTCGACTTACATAAACAGTCAAAAATGCAAAATATGCTGGCAAGCGAGGCGAGGAACATTCTCGGTCCTGCTCCTTTCGAAGTTGGCCTATGCTGTTCTAGTGAGTTTTCCGATTAATCGTTAATCTGGCCTATCGAAGGTTCCAGGTTGTTTCTAGGGCAGAGGAAACGCTTTACAAACGCATTAGTTAGCTTTATAATGCATGTGTTCGACTTACATGATAGTTGAAATAAGCTGGTACCGCAGGACACCATCTGAGCGTCTTCCATATGGAGAGAAATAGTCAGACGATCGTATGTTACTTTGCTCAATTGTACAGGGTAACATCCGCAGCCCATTTATCTATTCATCGCGGGGCACATTTAATGCCGAGTCTTTGCGGTGGGCTTCGTTATGAAGGCATTTGTACCGAACGGGGAGTACGTATCATTTTTTAAATTGTCATCGATGTATAATTGACGAAACAGTAGCCAGTCTCGTTTAAAGCGAAAACATAATTATTACTTTTATCATTGTGATAAATACCGTATTACGTAATTTACAGTGGATCTTTTACAGTTGCTTAACAAAGCTTCCCGATCTACTCTACTACTCAGGATACATTTTTAAACGGAGCGGTGGTTCGAAGCCTAACAGTAAACGAGGAGACAATGTTACCGGCATGTTGAAAATTAAAATTTATTTTTCCCCAATTTCTAACCAATAACTAGCCAAGATAGGGTCAAGCCACAGCCGAAACATTTGACAAACCTCAAATACAAGTCCAAAGCTCGAATATGTACAAAAAATATTGCAACTATTACGCAAACTATTTGTATCTACTACTCACCGTAAAAAACACTTTCTTCAAACTGTAGCTATTTTCCTTGAACCTCTCAAAGAAGACACTATTCCGAATGGGTCGTACGAAGATGATCATTTTTTTTATATTCCCTCGAAGTGACAGTGCACGCAATTATATTACCTGAACCTAATCCACACGAATGCTGCCGCCTAAACAACTTGAGTGAGCTTGCGATATGAACATCGATGGTCAATATCTACTGATATTCAATACACAACGATGATGTGTTTCAACAAAGCATCCAAACATAGCTAGGACAATTGATTAAATAGAGTAAGCAGTTGTAGGTGCAGATACAAATGGTAATGACACAACAGCCCTTTGTTTAGGACCTCACGTCTAGTTTTTTTCCTCGAAGCGAATGGGTCCCTCTAGACCAGACAATAAGGTCATGCGGGCCTCAGCATCACTCCAAAGGGGCTAAGCTTTTCCTAAAGATAGTGTATGCACGATAGCTTTAGCACTCAATGCATAGCCTGTCTGCAGACGGACAACTCTTGGCAAAGCCGATTTTTGGGCTTTGAAACATCCACGTGAAGCTTCGAGGATGAGCCGATTTATTTGTGTGAGCGAAGATCTGTTTGAGAAAGGGAAGATCTGAGAGGGTCGGTCGCCAAACTAAGTGAGCCACCGACTTGGCAAAATGATCAGGAATGAACGTGGAGAACGCGAAATGTGCTGGACGAAGAGTCGGGAATAGGAATAGGAAGAATCCCCTACCAAAATTCTAATAGAGTTATATCTTAGTTTTTAGGTTCATCAGTAGGCTTACAGGGGTCGTTCGACGTCAGTCCTACGCCGTTAAATTATTACTGAGAATAAATGCAATGCCTGATAATAAAAGATATGCTGAAAATGAAACATGTAGCGAGTTTCACTTACGGTACCAGTAGAAGCAAACGTCCCCGGGTGCGAAGGAGGACAGTAGTAAGGCTGTAAGTCAAAGTCATCTTTCTTTATTGTCGATTTTTTCAGGGCGCCAGATAGAAATATGCACGGGCAAAAGGGTGACCAGCCGCGGAAGGCTACCAGTTTTAATGTGAAATCTATGGAGGCTAGAGCTGCTCCGGGTCTCGATGATGTGCCCTGCATGGCCAAGCGATAACATACTCAGCGGCGAAAAGCACCAGCCACGAATAGGTCAAGGCGACTAGATCTACCTATGTATTCAATCCGAATGGGAAGCATAGTGAATGATAAAGCCACAAGAAACGCTGTGTCGCACTTAGGCAAATCATAGGTT